ATCACAAAAAAGAGTGATAACCAAACATAAGGTCCTCCCTGATGGCATACTCAGAAACAACCATGAAGTATTCTTGCCAAAAAATCGAGACTGAATTTGATCAAGCCTCAAGATCTAACTATCAGTTTATAAAAAAATACAGGGAGGAACATACTAAAAACCACAGAAATACAATTAGAAAAAAAAATCAAGACTGCAAAACACTACAGAACAAACAACCTGTTTCTTCAACAAAAAATTACCAGGAAAAAAAAGAGATGGAGGAATGAGAATCTATAAGATTCCAAAAGTCTTAAGATATGTTAACTACTTTAATGTGTAACCCTTATTTTGGATCCTGATATAAACAAACTATAAAAAAAAGAACTTGGGAAATTTAAACATTAATTGCTTATTTAATGATATTAAGAAATTAATAATTTTATTTGTGATAATCGAGTTGTGGTTATGTTTTTTTGAGTCCTTACCTTTTTAAATTAAATATTTTATTTTGAGATAATTGTTGATTCATGTTTAGTTGTAAGAAATTATATAGAGATGAGGTGCAGTGATTCATGCCTGTAATCCCATCACTCTGAAAGGCCAAGGCAGGAGGATCACTTGAGGCCAGGAGCTCAAGACCAACCTGGGGAACACAGTGAGACCCCCATCTCCACTTTAAAAATTTTTTAAATGATACAAAAGGATATCTCATATCCTTTATCCAGTTCCCCCCAATGGTAACATCTCGCAAGACTATAGTACAGTATCACAAACAAGATACTGACAGTGACTCAGTGAAGATCCAGAACATGTTCACTGCCATAAGATTCCCTCATGTTTTCTTTAATAGCCACAGCCATTTCCCTCCCATTCACACTCCCTATCACCTGGCAACCACAAATCTGTTCTTCGGTCCATGATTTTGTCATTTCAAAAGCGTTACAGAAATGGTATCAAACACTCTGCAACTTCTGGGATTGCCTTTTTGCACTCAGCATAATTATTTGAAGATTCATCCAGGTTGCTGAGTGTATCAATGATTGGTTCCTTATTATTGCTGAGTAGTATTCCATGTAATGGTATGCTATTCTCTGTTTAACCATCTACCCACTGAAGACACCTGGGTTTTTTTTTTTTTTTCCATTTTGAGCTATTATAAATAAAACTGATATGAACATTCATGTAGAACCCTTATCTTTTAAAGATACTTAAATATGTAGGGATGAAATAAAATGATGCTAGGAATTACTTCAAAAAAGTTCCTAACTGGATGAGATATGGAAAAAAACAAACTCTTCATCAGCTAATAAGCACCTTATACAATTATCTCTACTTTTATATGTGTTTAAAATTTTCCATAATATAAAATTCAAAAAAAGAATCCAGTAAGAAAAAATTACTCATCTGACTACTACACACCCCTGCACATAAACACACATATCTTAAAGTAAAACTGAAGGTACACTTTTTTATCTTGTGACTTTAGGCCATGCCAAGATCAAAGGAATTCTTTTCTTAAAACATAGAGCCAACACCTTCCAGTGATCATTGTTGTAACACTCACTATAACAATTAAGGCAAATCCAACCTAAGTATCTGTTAACTTTCTTTCAGAAGTTTTTTTATTAAGCTACAGGGTTGATATAATAGGTAGTCTGTAACATTGGACAAAAGCAGGTAAGTAATCACCATAATCAAACGTATGAGATTTATGAGTGGCTTGTCTTCAAAAGAGAGGGTTTACATCTGACATGAATAGGTCCTTATCATCAAGACAAATGCTGAAAGAACAGAAGTGTGATTACTAAAGATGAAGAGCAACAAACTATATGAGCACAATCAGGCCTGAAAATGAAGTGTAATGCATTTTATATTTGCAAAGGCTGCTTTTGTTTTTAAGCCACTCTGGAGAACAGCATATTATTATCATGTTCAGTCTGCAAGCTAATGATTCCTTAGTATAATTCTGCAAAACGGTGTCTACTATTCAACACCACCAATATTCTATCAGCTCATTCTTCCTTAGTGCTGTACCATCTTCTTCCCTTCCATCTCACTGAGGACACCTTGTTTTTTCTTCGTATGTGGTACTGAAAAATGAAGACCCATTCTCCCAAAGATCTCAAGCAAATAAGAGACCATAAATACCAACCCATTAACCAATCTGGGATTAAAAGCCAAGATCTCCAAAGGAAATATTCATGATGATTTTCAAATGCCAAGTAGTGCAATGGCTACAAATAAGTTTCCCTTACTTGATCTGTAATGCCTCGACATGCACTGTGATGAGCAATTTTAAAGCTTAAATAAACATTGTTATTAGAAGTAGGATATCTGTTCACAGATCAAATCCTAATAAGATCAATTCCAAAGGATCACCTAAGTTTTATAGTTGTGTTGTAGTGTGATTATATCAAATATCCCTCGTATTAAGTGAGCCCCAGCCTTGGTGTTAGAAATAGTAATGCTTGTTGTGATAGGATTTGATCTGTAATACCATACTATGATAGGGAGGAAAAAGATGGTACACTAATAGGCTATCTGTGTGACAGTGAAATAACTATAAAATGAAGGACATTAGTCAATTCTATTAAAAGCAATCTATATACAGATTGGTTCAGTGGTGAGTTTAACAATGTAAGAGTTCTATCAATAAAAAGAAATCTATGGCAACATTGTATCAAAATCTTGTTCTTATGTCATGGGTCAGAACCAAGACACATGGAATTAAAATATAAAATATCATAGACCACTAGAAATTGTGCTACATACAGGCCTGCATTGAGAAGATTAATTATCTGCTAGAGACAGAAAAGGAAAATGGTAAGAATTGGATGCAAGAGTATAAAGGAATTGAGAAAGAGTTAATAAATGGGTGTAAAGTTAAATACACATATATTTTTGAACACTTTTTTCCTCTATCTTTTGCCATATTTCTTGACTCTTACAACCAAACATTTTCTGGGTCTTGTGGATAAGGACTCTACAACACAAATTTTTGTGCAGTGTGTGGCCATTGACAAGACACTAGAAGCTGGAACTCTTAGCACTAATCTTGATATACTTAAAGGTTAATTTAAAATAGTTTGCATAAACTGAAATGTTCTTGCCAAATCTTTAGGGTTGGTTTTCTCATATTTCACATTATCCTTCTTCATAGCAACCACCAATGCCTGGTCTACAGATTTGGATTTCAGAGGGGCCATTTTTGTCAGCTGAGGTGGTTTCAGAGAAAGGGATGTATGAGAGGACAGGTAGTAAGAGGTAATACATACAGAAAAATGAGGGAAGGCATTAGATCTAGAAAAGATCACAAGAACAAACGGCACAAGAGGAGTATAGAGAGATGAATAACCATGTTTGGCAAGAGCTGTGTAGAGTGGAGGAGTAGAAGATAAACTTAGAAGAGCAGGTTGGAACCAGGGAGCGGCAACCTCTGATGCCCAGGCAAAGCATTTAGACCACATCCCAGAGGCCCTCAGAAAACTACTGCAGGTTAGAGCACAGGTAAGATAAGTATAGCAGTGGTTAAAAAGATGTGACTACAGGTAACGGGCAGAGAGGAAAGGAGCAGAAGACCACAGATAAGAGGCTTTACTAATTGTTCCACGTGAGGTCAGAGGGCTTGATCTAGGAGGGTGATAGTGGGAAGAGAAAAGATTAATTTGAGAGGCAGTGTGAAAGATACAAATACTTAAAGCTAGTTTTGTCCTCAATTAAAACCTAGAAAATGGTCATTGTTAAAGAACTACTTACGAGATGCTAAGGATTCTCATGTTGATTGGGAGGTAAACTGTCATTATGATCAAACACATAAGAGGGCATAAAAATTCTAATAACTGATAAAGTCATTTTTAAAGGAAGCTTTCACTAAGCTCAACAGAACCTTGGAAAAAATAAGATTTTTGATATAAGTAAAAATTATTTTTAAGGAGATTATGATTGGTTGCAAGGTGATGAGTATTTTTTAATTTCCAAAATAATTAACTACTGATTTTAGCAAGGCAGTAATAATGACTTATATGATTGACAAATCTATTTTCTCTACTTTTGCAAATCTACTTTTTATATCTGCTTTTGCAGATCTATTTTCTCTACTTTTGCAAATCACTATTACAACCATATTATTAATCAAAAGCTCTTCTTTTTTGCAAATGTATCTATGAGTAAAACTGTAAAGCAGTATAGATTACAGAAGGCAAATCATGTATTTCTTAGTGTATAAGCCAACTTAGTTTCTATGTTCATTTGCTTAATACATTTTTATTGAGCACATACTACATGATAAGTACTGTGCTGGTGCTGCATGTGCAATGAAGAATAAAAGAGACATGGTCTGCCTATATGAGAGCTCACAGTACAGACAGTCCCAGACTTAGGATGGTCCAGCTTAACAATTTTTAGACTTTCTCATGGTGCAAAAGTGATACACCTTCAAGAGAAGGTACTTTGATACCTACACAACCATTCTGTTTTCCACTTTCAGTAAAGTATTCACCAAATTGCATGGAGCTATTCAATATTTTATTATAAAATAGGCTTTATGTTAGATGATTTTGTCCAACTGTAGGCTAATGTAAGTGTCCTGAGCACATTTAAGGTAGGTTAGGCTAAGCTATGATGTTTAGTAGGTTAGGTGTATTAAATGCATTTTCTACTTAAGATATTTTCAACTTACAATGGGTTTATCAGGATGTATTCCCATTGTAAGTCGAGGATCTGTATAGTGGAAAAAACAGACATCGATTTTTTTTGAATCATCCTAATATGTAATTTAAAATCGGAATAAGCATCCTAAAGGATAATTATAGGACACTCTGAGAGCTTATAATAGGGTGGCTAAACCAAGACTGGGTCTGGGAAGGTGTTTTTAAAGAAACTGTCTTTGAGGTGAAATATGTAAAGATATAGAGGAGTGAAATAGGGAAAAGAGTTGGGGAGAGGGAACTAGAAGAAAAGATGAACAGAGGGAAAGAATACAATAAAATGCATACAATAAAATGACAATACTCTCCGACCTGTTGTGTAATAGTGTCCCATGGTCCCTGTAGCAGTCGCGTCTTATAGCACTCATGAACTCCTTCCCATATGTCCTTCAGAGTTAAAGGTCTCCCATCTGTGAAAGTGCATGGTAAAGACTGAGTTAGTAATTCATGTGACACAATGGTTCTTGGTGTCAATCTAAAACTCTTGGAAGAATATCATGACTTTTAGAAAGATCTTCAGTGCACATGCTATTTCTATATCAAGAGAGTGCTATATGAATTACTATTTTCTTCCTGAGGGAAATTTAAACATTCAAGCATCTCAGCTTTGTATCCATCTAGCATTTAAATTATCTGCCCATTTATTGCCTCTAGGAATTTTACAAAAGAAATAAAATCCAAATGTGTTTTAGAGAGAACTGACAGATACAAGCAGAGGCAAAGGAACAGACAAACAGATTCCCATATTCACAAAGGTGCACTATGAATACTTTGAATCCTTCGTACTTCCTCTAGTCCTTAAAACAAAGAAGCCATACCCATGCATCTTTCACGTTCTCATGGAGTATCTATAATGTCCCAATCACTCCATCAGGTACCATGGAGAATAGAGATAAGAAAAACACACAATTTCTCCTAACAAGGAGCCTATCATCTACTGAGGAAACTGTGACAAGTATATTATAGTAGAGTAGTCTCTGCCTGAAGAAGACTGACGCTCACTGATGGTCCAAGGAAGAGAGATATTAATACTTGGTGTATATGGCAGGCAGAGAAAAGGACTCTTGGGATGGGAAGGGACAGTAGAACAGGGTTGGCATGAACAGGGCAGTAAAAGCTTTATTGAACAATAATGCTCTTTTTCTTTGTTTCAATTATCCATCTGTATCCACCCAAACGATGTTTTACAAAGACCACTATGGCACTTACATTATACACAAGGTAAGTAAAGTAGAAAAATAGGTATCTAAGTTCTGAAAAGAAAGCAGAAAGAAGAAGTCACCTAAAGATTTCAAACCATACACTGCTGGAAAGAAAGTATCTTAATGCTAGAATCCGGTATAACTTGCTCCATTCAGAGCTATAAGGCCCTCAAGACTCAGGGGTGTGCTCTTTTGGGCTAATGGAGGATATCACTTAAAGATATTTCACATAGCAATATGCTGAATATTTAGACCAAAGAAGTATTTGGTCATCAAGGGCAACAAAGCATAAGGGAAATAATCTACTCAAGAGCTCCAAAAATCACTGTATTAAGACTTTCTAGTATAAGTTTAGAAATGTATGGTGTTGGGGGAAAAAACACTAGATTTGGAATCTGGACTAAGTTTAAATCCTGGTGTTGGCACTTACTCCCGATGTGAGTGCAAATTACTTTGCTTTTAACTTTACCTGCAAAATGAGAAAAATGATCCTTTCTAAGTATTGTTCCTTTGAGGCTTACATTAGTGAATGCACCCAGGACTGTGTTAGGTACACAATAAGAGCTCAATAAATATTAGGAATCTCCTCCCAGCCCTCACACAATCATTCTAGTAATTCTCAAACCTAAAAGATTCATTTCTAGACTGTTATTTCTTAGAATTTTCCCATGTTGCTATACCGTGTATATCATCTTTGATATAGTACTAAACTAATATCATAAGCAGGACATTTCTCATGTTTGACCTAAAAAGTTGAACTTTTCCTCAACCTTTATTTTCAATAAATAGCAATAGAATATTTTGATACATTTTCAATAAGTATCTTCATCTTGGCATTTATCTGGCGGCAGGAGACCATTATCTTGTGATAAATAGTTTTATTCCATTGACATTTCCATGTCTGTAAAATGAACAAGATTTATTCATCCAATTAACATTTGAATGTCATGTTTAGCTACAAGTTAAAAACAAGCTGCCTTCAGTATCTGTGTTATATTGTTTTCTGAACACATTTACAGAGGAGGGCCAAACTCTGCTCTTAAGCACTATGCACCTTCGAAATATGCACATGCCATGCACGCATATGTGTGTGTGTGTCTGTGTGAACGCACGCGTGTGTGTGTACTGGTGTGGGAAGAGGCAAATAAGATCTTAAGTACTTTAGTGTCAAATAGTAAACCAATCAAATTATAGAATGATATGCTTTTAAAATAATTTTTACATGTCAAAGTTAGAAGAAATCAAATACCTGTAGTAGGATAATAAAATGTTAGAGCTAGTATAACCACTAATTTTATAAATAGGGCAGCCAAGGTCTTAGGAAATATGTATCTGCCAAAAGTATGCAGCAGGTTCATGACTGAACTGAAGTCTGAATCCAGATCTCAGGACTCACCAGTGCTCTTCCTGCTGGTCCACGCTGCCTCTGAGGGCTGAGGCATTGCAAATGCTTTATAAATATTTACTGAGTAAATGATAAATGATGAAAAAATGCCTTCCTTAACTTTATTTCCACTAACATAAAGGTTTACAGGCCTAGAGAAGAATGCTGGGTTTCATATCTTCATATCTGATAATCAGTAATGATTTTAATTTTATTCCTTAAAGTATTTCAGGCAACAATGTAAGTACAGAGTAAATGGTTTGGATACAAGTTAATTTTAGAAGTAGGTGTTTTATATAATTGGGCACCAACTATATGCCAGGCACCTGTGCCAAGCCTTTGCGATAAATCAGTGAGCAAAACAATCATCCCTGTTTTCATGGAGGTTACATTCTGCCTTGGGGTGTGTGTGTGTGTGTGAGAGAGAGATAATAAACAATAAACACAATAAACAAGTAAACTGTATATTATCTTAGGAGGTGATACATACTATGGTGAAAAGGAAAAGTAGAGCAGGCTAAGAAGTGCCAGCCAAAGGTGGATTTGCAATTTTAGACTTCAGTGAGAAAGTAACTGTGTGAAAAAAATGGGAGGCACAGCGTTCCAGGGAGAGGCACCAACCAGTGGAAAGACCACCAGGGCTGGGTAGGGGATCACTAGCACCACATGAATATCACTAACATTCGTCACTTACAGACAATGACTTAAAAAAAACACACATAACTTTATCAAGATATAATTCACATACATACAATTCGCCCATGTTAAGTGTACAATTCAATTATATTCATAGAGTTGTGCAATCATCACCTCAATTAATTTCAGAACATTTTCATCACCTTAAAAAACAACAACAACAAAAACAGCTGGGCACAGTGGCTCACGCCTGTAATCTCAGCACTTTGGGAGGCCCAGGTGGGAGGATTGCTTAAAGCCAGAAGTTTGAGAGCAGCCTGGGCAACAAAGTGAGACTCCATCTTTACAAAAATGTGGCTATATAGGGAAGGGCAGAGACAAGAGGCCAGGAAAGTATTTACCTCAGTAGAGTCCTTTAGCTGCAGTCCCAATGAGGCCTGGCAAAGCTTTATTTCTTTTTCTTCAGAAAAAGGGCTATTTTCTTCTCACCCCTACTTTCTAAACCAACTTGAGTGCTTTTCTGATTGTTGTAACCAGAGCTTTGTTTGAAAAGTAGACTCTTCAAATGAGGAAACCAATGGAAAAATTGGTAACATAATGGCGCAAGTCTGTTATACAACCACAATGATGCAACTGCTTGAGATGGCTTAGACAGTCGTGATCTCCATGAATACCCTCTCCAAACCATGGTCTCCAACTTCCAAAATCTAACCTCCTTAAAAAAACTGAGGAAGGTCAACAAGTAATTGTAATACCATTGTTAAAATATCTGCTTCCTCTAGGCCCATAATGGCTATCTCAAGGGCCACTGCAAAGTCTCTTTAGCACCTCTCAAAGTTCTGTGTTTGGCACCCCCTGCTGGTGGCATGCTAGGCCTGGTGGGACTACAAGTATTTAAAACAAGCATATCAAGTCTTAAATATTCAAAAGACCACTGTTCCTCAAAATAGTCACCTAGGGAGGTTACCTTACTATTCAGCAAATTCAGCCAATATTTATTCCAACAATGCTGTAATTCTGTCAATGGAACTGCCTTTGAACTTTTGAACTGCCTTCAGAGCCAGACAAGTAACTAATTACTTACTAGTCCCAAATAGGTTTAAATCAAAGGGAAAAAAATTATACTTATTTTATTCTATATATTTGGTTCCAAATGATTTTGTTGTCTCCAAACAAATTCACCTTTAATGGGCAACCATCTTCCAACTTTTAGCCACAAGGACTGGAAGAAGTTTCAAAACCAGCAGTTCCCAAAATACGTTGAGTAATCAGAGTATGGTTGGCAAAAGTATATAATTTTGCTTTTCCTCTGTATCTCTGCAAATCTCTCCAGTTTCTGCTGACCACTTACACTGTAAAAGGTCTGGGTAAATATAGTTTTGTCTCTATGACAACAATGACCTAATGAGGTATGATGCGGTTTCTGTTCCCTAAGCCTTCATCACTGGTTTGCCTAATCACAGTTTACACCTTCATCATCAAAGACATACAAAAGTTAGTTTCTGAGATGTTTCACAGAAAAACAAAAAGATCTAACTTGATAAGCAATATGTTCAAAATCCTGGCATACATTATTGATATCTAAAATGCTTTCAAATATGATCGTGACTCTATTTCGAAAGCAAAATGGATACTTGAGAAATCCCACTGAAACAATTAAACTAGGATATTTCTATATGTATAAAGAACCGCATTATATAAACAAAGCAGAAACTTGAAGAATATTGTACATATCCACTTATTTATGAAAACTGAAGACTCAAGACTTAAAATATGGACATAAATACTTGGTTAAGTACATAAAACACATTATTATGTGCCTGCATGTTCAATTCAGAGTATCTTCAATCAGAAACTTTAACCCATGTTAAGAGAGTCTATTTTTTTTGCATCTGGCCTCAGTCAGAGGAGACATAAGCTTACTCAATCAACAACCCCTTCGTTTCAGATCCAAGATACTTGATCGCACCAATTTTAACATGCTTAGAAATTTCATTAATCACATTGAGGCTGAGTAGCTCAGTAAAATCCCCTGAATACTTGAAAAAGAAGTAGAAGCCAAAATAATTTCAGTAGTAACCTACATAGTGAGCATGGTAAACTGAGATCATTTATATAACAAGTGTTTAGTGAGTGCCTACTATGTGCCTATATCACTTGGAATGATAATACACATTTAAGCTAATGG